ACCCCCCGTCCTCTATCCCCTGCTCAGGCCATAAACACAAGCACAATTACTAGGGAAGAACTGGAACTTGGAAACTTGCTTAGGATCTAAGATCCCGTCGTATCCAATGAGATGGGAGCTAGTATCTCATACCCACCATTTCGAATTGCCTCCCACTCTGTGGGTGGCATCAAAGGAGAGGGTTTTCTGGGCCCTCCTTGGGGGCAGCAGGACAGGGAGCCAATGACACATACCTCAGAGAGGCCAGAGTGCGGTTGATCTTCAGAGCATCGGCCAGAGCCTTGGCCCCTTGAGGTCCAATGGAGTTACTGCGGAGGCTAGTGGAAGGAAGAGAGAGGAAGAACCATTCTCTTTCATCCAATTCCCAGGGAGGCAAGGAGGAACAGAAGTTAACACTGACCTTTAAATCTATGATCCTTGAAAGAAATGTATCATGGTTAGGATTTCATGTTTGGTGGAACTGGGGCAGAGATCCTTATTTAGTTGAAAAAGGAAGGAGTTTCCCAAGATGGCCCCAGGTGATGGGAAGAAGAAAGCAGGATCTGATGGACTAGTGGCCTTGGGCCAAGTGTGGAGAAGAAAAGAATGATAATACCAGGTTCAGGGCTGAAATTCTGGTGACTCACTGGGTGAGTCCTAACAGCTGAGGAGGAGCCATGACTTTGCTTGCTCAACTGTCCTTCCAACCCACCCAGGGTAGAGTGTGGTCTAGGGTGCTGCCTACAGGGGCTCAAAGACCTTGGAACCTGCTCTGAGGGAAATATGAGTATTATGCCCAAAGGCTACCTATGGGCTGAATCAGGGCAGCATCGATGGGACCCCAATCATTTCACAGGAAGGGACTTCACAAGATGGCTTATAAGCTCTCCCTGTCCCAATGGTGAAAGGTTGGTCTTTGGTGTCCTACTTACTCCAGAGTAGTCAGACTTCTGTTGACCAGGAGGGATCTGGCCAGAGCTTTGGCCCCTTTGTTACTGATCTGGTTCTCAGCCAAACTGCCCAAGGAGAGAGAGAGGAGTGGTTATTGCAGGTCCATGAGTCTTGTCGCCTATTCGTCACCACCAGGCCCATGACACAAACCCTTGGCCTCCTCAGCATTGCTGGGGCCTGGACCCAAGTGGAGATGAGGTGAGCTCTGGAGCAGAATGCCAGGCCCAGAAAAACTGGGCAAAGTAAGGCCAGAGTGGGCAGACAGACCCTCATGCTGGCATAGGGTCCCAGGGAAAAGTTTAGCCAGAATCTAGCACAACAGCTTCTATACAAACAGCACAGCAAAAAGTATGGGCAATTATAGAGGTCTACCACATGGATCCCAGCCAGTGGTGTGCTAGAAAACTGGCTCTCAGGAAAAAACAAAACACAGAAATCCTGATTCGTAGCATTGGCCAATTTCCATGGTGTAAATACTCCCACCATGGCCAATTTCAAGCACTCCCAGCTTGCAAAAATTCCTGAAAATTTAACAATCAGCTCTCATGAACTACTGCTGAACTCATAGTTCCACCACACCACTGGCCTCAGCGCTTTCTCTAATGCAAGAAAGGAAAATGGTAGAGTTACTACAGAACTAACTTAAAAGTAAAAGTAAAAATATTCTCCTTGAACGGGTGATTCCAGGAATATACTGGTGGATCAACTTAATGTTGCTTCATGTACACAGTTTCAGAAATGGTAGCTGTTGAGTTTCTTTATAGTTTCTTGGGCACTTAAAACTGTGGGGCGGCCAAAGGATCCAATTAGAACCCTTGGTACTTTTCAAGCTATGTTTCAAGGGCCCCAAGGGTTCCTCAGAAAAACTTCAGGAGCCACCAGGAGGCTGAGGGGAACCAAATGCTGGGCTCTGGGCCCCCCATCCCCTCTTCTTTCATTGCCAGCAGCTCCCCTCTTTTGTCTCTCTTCTGCCTATGTCACTTTTAAAAAGGGTTTTATTGCTTAAAAAAGTTTGAAGACCATTCATCCAGACCACCTTCTATATAAATGTTCTCAAAATCTAGGGAGACTCTGTCCACCCCCCGACTAGGGCTTTTATATTTTATAACTAATATTTCATGAACCGTGTGTGTTTTCTGAAGGATGTCTTGGACATTTCAAAGAGGGATGTGGCACTGAGGACCAACTGCAGAGAGGTGAAGAAGGGCATGTGGCTACAGAAGGAATTTTTGGCTTTATTCAGAAAAATTTCTGAGCACTATCTAGACTCCTTTAAGCAAAACACTGAAAGTTGACTGTTTTGCTGGAGGCTCCCATGAAGGAAAAGATATTAATATTGGGAAGTTGTCTTTATCATGTTTCTTTCAAGAGGATTACATTTATATCTCTGACTAACAAGACAAAGGTAATCCTGCCAATAAAAGCTGACCCTTATACAGTGCTTCCTCTGTGCTGGCCTGTCCTAAGCACTTTCCTTGAATTAACTCATTGAAGCCTCACAACAGCTCTAAGAGGTAGCGTGCAGTAAAGGATTAACCTTGCCCCCGGCTCCTGAGAGGTGACCTCTAAGCCTTTGGAACATCCTGCCTGACATTGACCTATTGACCTGGGGCCCTTGGGCCTTGCTGGGGTTTATCTCATAGTGTGATTTATGGTGGGGCCTTGGGCCCTGCAGTGTCATCTTGACCTCTGGAGGGGCTGGAGACTAAGGTCAGCCGTGTGGGTGGTCAGGTATGTCTTCATGACAGACCCCCAGTAAAAACTCTGGACACCTCACTCAGGTGGGCTTCTCTGGTTGGAATGCTTTGTGTGTGTTGTCACATGTCGTCACTGGGAGCCTGACCGTACTGGGAGGGGACAGGTGGAGTCTCGGGCCTGGCCTCTTCGGGACCCTGCCCCGTGGACCTTTTCCCTTTGCAGATTTTAACCTGTATTGTTTCAGTGTAATGAACCATAACTGTGGATCTGATGGCTTTTCTGAGTTCTGTGAGTCCACTGAACCTGAGGATGGTCATGGGGACCCCTGAACTCACAGGTGGATACCTTTTAAACCCCATTTTTACCCTCCATAGGCACAGAGGTGACTATACAAGGTCACACAGAGCCCACCATTCTAACCACTCTCCTCAGTGACTTAGTTTTTCTCCCAACTCATCCTACACTTCTATTTCCTCGCATAAAGGTTATGTCAGAACTCAGAAGCTTGTGTGAGGATGAAAAACTACTCTCTGGGTCGTATTCTCCAAACTCCCCTCCCTAGTTCTCCAGAAGCCACCCTCAGGTCATCATATCCATTCAGCTACAAACCAGGGTGTTACTCAGACTTGGAAATGTTATTACAGGAGAAACTTCATAAGCACATAGATTTGTTTGACAGTCAGTATATAAACTTTCATCTAATTAAACATTAAAGATGCAATGTTTAAATTTTAAATTTTTAAAATTGTTTTGAATTTTAACTCATTTTCTTAATTTAAAAAAATTTACATTTTATTTAAAGATGCAATTCTGTGTCCAGAATACTGTTTGAGAGCAAACTTTGAGACAACCTGAGAGAAAATTGGGCCTGGCACCACATCAGCACATATGGTGCTTGGAGAAATGCTTCTGTGTCCCTCATCTGATGCTCATCGTATTTTTCCCTCTTCTTACAGGAGGTACCTGAGCCTCTGGAACTTCCTGGAATGGTTGGAAACAAGCAGCCTGCATCCTGAGCCACAAGCTTCAAAGATACCTCTCCCTGAAAGCACCACTGGCTGATTGAGCAGAGAGGAAGATGGGAAAGGAGCCCCAGACCCTGAGAGACAAGTGGGCACCCTTGGCAGGATCTCCTGGGTCAGCGTTACCTGATCCTCTGAATGCGACAGTCCTTTCCACTCAGCACACTGCCCAGCAGCTCCATCACGGAATCCTGGAACTGGTTGGTATCCAGCCTGGTCAGGAGGAACAGCGATAGTGAATGGTACCACCACCCACAGGCAGCTGGGATGAGGCCCCTGGCAAAGGGCTGGCATCGGGGCAGTGAAGACACTCAGGCTTGATGTGTCTGGAAAGGCTGGATCCTTTCCCTCTCCCTCCTCTCCATCCCAATGCAGGCCACTCCATGTGGCTCAGAGATCTGTTCCAGCACACCCACCATGCTCAGAGTTTTCCTACGAGGGTGAACTGGGAGGCTCAGTGGCATGAGCCCTGGGGTTCCTACCCAGAGAGGTGTCTTCCCAGCAGCCCCGCATGCCATGTGCATCTGCGGGACACTGGTTGCTAGCACTCCTCCTTCTGAGTATGCGGAAGCTGCTCTCAGGTCCTGAATGGCCCTGGTCCTATAACCTTCCCTCCTCACTCCCCCTGCCAAGGTCCAGAGCAGAGGACAGAGGATGGACTGAGGGCAGAGTGAGTGTATCTCATTTCCATCAGCACTGGGATGGTTTACAGAGTGTTGTAGGTTCAATTGTGTCCCCCACAAAAGATATGTTGGCATTCTAACCCCCCCAGTGCCTCAAGAATGCAATCTTATTTGGAAATAGGGTCATTGCAAAAGTAATTAGTTAAGATGAGGTCATATTGGAGTAGGGTGGGCCTGTAATCCAACATGACGGGTGTCCTTACAAGAGAGGAGAGCACTATGTGAAGACAGAGGCACAGGGAGAAGGTGGCCTTGTGATGACAGAGGCAGAGACTAGAGTGATGCGTCTACAAACCAAGGGATGCCGGCAAACACCACAAGCTAGAGAGGCAGGAAAGATTCTCCCCTATAGGCTTCAGAGGGAGGACAGCCCTCACAACACCTTGATTTTGGACCCTGGCCTCCAGAACTGTGAGAGAATAAGTTTCTGTTGTTTTAAGTTGTGGTCCTTTGTTATGGCAGCCCCAGAACATTGATACAGAGGGGCATGGTGGAGGAGAGGAACCTTCTAGGTCCTCTGCTCTCTCTTCTGCCCACACACCCTGCACCCCGCCCGGGCGCCCACCTCAGGCTCCGGCAGTAGAGCAGCTGGGGCAGCAGGCTTTGGAGGACGCCTTGGCTGAGGCATAGGGACAGGTTGGCCTCCTGGGCACAAGTGTCCGACACCTGCAGGAGGTAGGCCAGGGCGGTACGGTGATGGGGGCTGGTCAGCCTGGCCAGGCCCCCACTCTCCATGGCCTCCTCCACACCCCGGGCCAGCTCCGTGTGCTGTAGCTCATGCAGGCAGTGCAGGACATTGATCGCCCGGGCGCAGACCGCGGTGTCGCGGCGCAGGCAGCCCTGGAGGACCTCAGCCACCTGGGCCCGGTAGCCCTGGTGCTCACCCTGGGCCAGCAGGGAGCCAGCCAGCAGGGCATTGACCCTTGGAGACAAGAGGCCCGAGAGGAAGCGCAGGAACACGTCCAGCCGCCCATCCTCAGCCTGCATGGCCCGCTGGGCCGTGCTTCTGAAATGCGTGAGGAAGCCGAGCCGGGGCCAGGACACGCCACCCTCGGTGAAAAGGTCGAAGATGGCCCTCTTGGATGCGCTATAGTAGTACGCGGCCGCCACAAACTCCTGCAGGGACAGATGGGTGAAGCAGTAGGCTGCCGAGGAGGCCAAGGTCTCCTCCCGCTGCAGGAAGCAGCTGCACAGGGTGCTCTGCAGCAGAGCCAGGTCCACGCCAAATGCCTTCAGGTCCGGCTCGTAGAACACGTACTTCTTCTTGACCAGCCCATGGAAGGCCAGCCGGCCCAGTGTCCCCACCATCTTGCGGCCACTGTGGGCCAGCTGCTCAATGCGAGGGCTCGCCTTGCCCTTCTCCTGCCCCTCCCCACCAAGGGCCATCCTGAAGTACCAAGAGTAGAGCTCACACAGGGTCCTTGGAGGCCACAGCTCTGCGTCCTGGGGCCCCGGCCTGTTGTGGCACAAGTGGCCCAGTGCCAAACCCGTGAGCCGGCAGAAGGCTGGGATGGTGCACATCAGGTAGAGGGCCCTGTCGGCCTGCACCTGGCTCAGGACCCAGCCCGAGAGGACCTGGTCCTCAGGGAACAGCTGCTCCAAACACACCTTTATTTCCTCCTCGTTAAAGCCCCGGATCTCGGTCATCCGGTCCACCAGGCCCCCAGGAATCTGGCCAGCCGCACTGGGGCGGGAGGTGACCCAGACAGAAACTTCTGGGAAGAGGTTGCCCCGGATGATGTTGGTGATCAGGTGGTCCACCTGGATCTCCTTCTTGGGGTCAGTGCAGGCCACAGTATTGGAGAAGTCCAGAGGTGTCTTACACTCGTCCAGGCCGTCCAGGATCAGGAGGGCCCTAGTTAGGGCTGCTGCTGCCAGGCCAGCCTCCCCAACATGCGGGAAGACAGAGCGGACGAGTCTGTCTGCAGACAGCTTCTCGTGGGTGTTGAGATCCCGGAAGGTCAAAGGCAGCACCAGTGAGAAGTCCTTACCGACCTGCCCCCGGGCCCAGAGGCAGACAAAGTCCCTCACCAAGGTGGTCTTGCCCACACCGGCCACTCCAATGGTGATGGAGATCCGAGGCGGGATGGACACCCGAGACAGAGGTAGGAAGAGCCTGTCCAGGGCAATGGTCTTGGTGGAGCACCAGCCCCCGCGTGTGGCCTCCACCTGCGTGAAGTCGTGTTCCTTCAGCTGCAGGTCCGTCAGGCCCTCCACCAGGAGGAGGCTGGTCAGCCTGGGCGAGGGGCTGCCCAGCTCCTGGCCACCTCTCACCGTGCTCAGCAGGGCCTCGCGGTACTTCTGTATTCTCAAGTCTGCAGGATAGAGGCCAGAGGGGAGGGTTGGGAAGGGCGAGGGAAGGGGGGATGGAAAAAGTGCCCAGGGATACCCCTCTGTCTACCTACCATTGCTGTGGGGGCCCAGAGGGGAGTCCAGTGCTCTGTCGGGGGTCTGTGGGGCCAGGGAGCCCTGACCGCCCTTCCCTGCCAGCAGGTCCACGAGAGCTTTCACCTGCTCAGCTGGGGAGCCAGCGCCGTGGCCCTGGCCAGCCTCCCCGCCTGTCCGCACCTCCTGCTTCCTCATGGAGTCCGAGATTGCTGCCAGGAGCTGTGAAGAGAGAGCCTGAACCTGCTACCTGCTGTGTCCCCACCGAGCAGCCTGGGACAGGTGAGCAGGCCTCCAGGGATTGGTAGGGACCCACCCTTTCTCCTTCCCCAGACTGTGGGTGGCCCTCAGTTTGGCCTCCAGGAAGGGGTTGGAAGGGCTGTCTGTTCCTGGCTGGTGAGAGTAGTCCCTGAGCATCGCTCAGATGCAGGGGGCCAAATGGATAAGAGCCAGGGCCCTAGACTTGAACCTGAGCTCTGCCACTTACTGGCTGTGTGACACTGGGCAGGCCGCCTGAGCTCTCTGTGCTGTGGTGTCCTCATTTGCAACCTGGAAATGGTGATGAGGTTATGAGCAGCTCCACTCACAAGAAGGGGAGAATGAAAGAAGCCAGTCCGGAAAGGCTGCATGCTGTATGATTCTAACTCTATAACATTACCGAAAAGACAGAACTATGGAGATAGTACAAAGATCAGTGGTTGCCAGGGGTTTGGGGCAAGGAGGGAGAAATGAATCGGCGGAGCATAGAGGATTTTAGGGCAGTGAAACTACTCTGTGTGACACTACAGTGGTGGATACATGTCATTATACATTTGTCCAAACGCATAGAATGTACTACACCAAGAGTAAACCCTAATGTAAACTCTGGGCTCTGGGTAATAATGACGTGTCAATGTAGATTCATTGGTTGTAACAAATGTGCCACTCTGGTGGGGGATGTTCATAGCTGGGGTGGGTGTGCATAAGTGGGGGAAGGGGGTATATGGAAATCTCTGTACTTTCCACTCAATTTTTCTGTGACCTAAAACTGCTCTAAAAACTAAAGTCTATTAATTAAAAAAGGATGGAAGGAGGAAGGGAAGGAGGAAGGGAGAAGGGAGGAGGAAGGAGGAGTCGAAAAGGAGGAGAAAGTGGGTTCTCAGAGCAATTGCTCAGCTACTTTTCTTACTCTGTTTTCTTGGGGTCTCCTGACCCACAGGCAGCACTGTTTTCTTCTGGGGACAGTGATGCTAAGAGGCAAAGCCATGCCCCAGTCCCACCTGCTCACATTCCTTTTCCTCTCCAGGGACTTGAGTGGCTCCCATTGTCAAGGCTGGCTGCCCCGCTATGTGTCCCTCCCTAAGCTAAGACGGATGCTTGAGGACCCTGAGCCCACCCTACCCCTGCTTCCCTCATCACCTGTAGGGGCAGGATGTCCAGCCCACGGCAGCATTTCCGGCAGGGCCCCAGGAACTCAGGGGGTGAGGGTCCGCCATCCCTCATCCACGGATCTAAGAGAGAAAACAGGATGTGGGGCTGGGCAGAGGTCACGCCTACTGCTTTGGGTGGCAGCAGCTCATTGAAATGGGTCCAACCCATGCCTTCCAGCCCTGTGGTTCTCTGGGTCTCAATGTTATTCACTTAAGAGGAGATCACTGGCTACAGCCCCAAGGCTGACCTTGGATTTGCCTTGGGGTTCCTGGGCACTTTAACTCAAGGTGAACCTTTTCACATAGAAAATGCTAAAAGAAGCTCAGTGACAAGTAAAATCGCATTTTCCAGCCATTCAGTTCATAATGATGTTGGAGAGTTGAGTGCAATGAATTTGAGGTAGATGTTGCCCAACCCGACCTAACTAATCTGGGAACATGAGAAGTAGGCCAGGGCGAGGCCACTCCCCTCTACTTCTTCAGAATCTTTCTGACTGTTGTCACTCTCTTATTGTTTTAAATGTCAAAATTAAGGGGAAAAAAAAGATGGGATTTTGATTAAAGTCACATTAATGTGTACAGGTTAACGTGGGTGTTATTGAGGTCTTCCTTTAGATCTTTTAGTAAAAGATCTTGCCCATTTCTTATTTGTATCTAGGTATTTTTAAACAGTTTTTGTTGTTATTATGAATTTTGTTGGTATCAAAGAAAACAATTTTTTGTGTATTTTATCCCATATATTAGGTACCATATCCCATCAACATATTATCCCATATCCCATCAACATATCAGACAGTCACATTAATTCTCATCATTTTTCAGTTAATTCTTTTTGGACTTTTGAATTACTGCAATACAAATAATTTCATCTCTTTTCTAAAATTATAACTCTTATTTTGAACAATTTTTCTAGATTGGCCAGACCCACTGCTTGCTTTGCACAATGTTGAATGACAGCAGTTGTAGCAGGCATCCTTGTCTTACTCCTGACCCTACCAGGAGTGGTTCTAGCCCAAACTGTTAAGCCTGATGTTTGTGACAGATTTCTATTTTCAGGTTACATATTTCAGATGTTCCTCTTGGAAAATATTCTTCGAATCTTAATTTCCTATTACCATTCAAATAACATTATATAATACTTATTGAAGGCTTACTGTGTTCCAGACATTCTGTTAAGCACTGTATTTACATCATTTCATTTACTTCTTATAACAACTCTCATTACCATTATTTCTCCCATTTTATAGATGAGGTCACTGAGGCCAGAGAGGTTAAATGACTTGTCCAAGGATACACAACTGCAAAGCAGTTGAGTTGGGATAGAAACCAAGGCTTCACTGACACCAAGGCATGTGCTGTATGATCTACTGCCTCTTATGTATGTTTACACATTTAAAAAAAAATTTTAGGTGTGTCTGTTAAATTAGCAAATGACGTTTTAGCAATATTGATATAATCACATGATTTATTTCCATTCATTCATTCAACTAGCAGATATTTAGTGAGAGCCTGTTGTGTGTTCCAGGCACTGGGGATGTGAAAGAGAACAAGTTAGACGAAGTCCCTACCCTGTGAGTGTAGTAGGGATGGGGGATAACGACAATAAAGAAGAAAACAAGTGAATAAGGAAGGCAATTCTGATGGTGGTTAGTGCTGTGAGTGAAATAAACAGTGTGAGTGATAGAGACTTGGTGGTCTAGGGAGAGGGGATGCTTTAGTCATGGTGGCCAGGGAGCGCCTCTGTGAGAAAGCTACATATAAGCAGAGATCTTAAGGGTGAGAAACAGTTAGTCATGCAAAGAGCTCAAGGAACAACAAGTGCAAATACCCTGGTGTTAGAAGAGCAGAAAATGGCCAGAGTGCTGGAGCCCAGTGAATGAGACAGTGAGCTCAGAAAAGGGGTTAGGAGACAAGGTCAGAGGGGGAAGTTTGGATTGTCATAGGGGGGTTGTATTTGTTCTAAGTGTGGTGGGAAGCCACTGGAGGGAGTGATGTGACTAATGTACATCAGATCTCTCCTTTAATCTGTGAGCTACACTAATAGATTTTCTAATATTGAACCAACCTTGCCTTCTTGAATACAATCTTCCATTTATATTAAGCTGTATAAAACAGGGTGGGCTAGCACCAGAATAGATACATAAGTCAATAGAACAAAAAATAGAGTCCAGGAACAAATACATATTTATATTATTTAAGTATGAAGGAGTTTGGTAATATGACAAAAACAGCATTTCACATCAGTGGAAATGGTGTTGGGGCAATTAGCCAGCCTATGAAAAAAGTTTTTTGAGCTTTACTTCACAATGAACACAGAATTTAATTTCAGTTTGGATTAAAGAGTTAAAATTATAAATAGAAAAGCATATGAAGAAAATGTGAGAGAATATTTTAAAATATTTTTTGGGTAAGGGAGGCTTTTTAATGCAAGAAATAAAATCCAGGAGTCATAAAAGGGAATAAAATTGTCATAAATTTGAAAGTCATAAAACTGAAAGAAAACCTCAAGCCAGGAGTCAACATATGCAACATACATGAAAGAGCATTAATATCCTTAATATATAAAGAACTCTTTAAATCAATAAGAAAGAAATAACCAAATAGAATTATAGACACAGATAGATAATTATGGACACAGAAAGAAATAGAAAAAAGGACACAGATAATTCATAGAAGTATAAATGACCAAGGCTGAAAAGTTGCTCAATCTCACTAATGATCAAGAAAAAACAAAACAATGAGCTATAATTTTTCATCTATCTTATTAGCACAGATTATAAAAACATAACAGTCTGCATTGGTGAGAATATGGGAGTAGTAGGAATCTTAATACGTAGTTGGTGGGATTGTATTAATACAATGATTCTGGATCATAATTTGCCATTATCTATTGCCATTTAATATCTTTGACCCAGAAGTTCCACTTTGGGGAATTTATCCTAAAGAAATAATTGGACGAGTGCACAAAGATGTGACTACAAGGATAATCCTGAAAAATTGTTTATAACAATGGGAAATTGAAGGAGAAAAACTGAATTTCTATCCAAAGAGGATTGGTAAAATTATTATGGTCCAGTTATACAGTAGGAAACTATGTGGCCATAAAAAATAATAAGGTCAAACTGGAAAAATGTCCACAGTGTATTTTTTTGTCTCTTAATGTCATAAGGTTTTAATCACTTTTTTGGGATATAATTTATACACAATAAAATGCACCCATTTCAAGTGTACAGTTAGATGAGTTCTGACAAATGTATACCCCCATATAACAACTACCACAATTAAGATATTGAACATTTCTTTCTCCAAAAAATTGTTCCTTCATGCCCCTTTGCAGTCTATCCCAACCACACCCCTCAGGCCCTAAGCCATTGGTCTGATTTTTTTCACTATAGTTTAGTTTTGCCTTTTCTAGAATTTCATATAAATAGAATCATACAGGATCTATAATTTTTTTTTTTTACTTTTTAAAAATTGTGGTAAAACACACATAGCATGTTTACTATCTTAACCATTTTTAAGTGTACAGTTCAGTGGTATTAAATACATTCATGTTGTTGTGCAACCATCACCACCATCATCCCCATAACTCTTTTCCTCTTGTAAAACTGAGACTTTAGACCTATTAAAAAACCAACTCCCCATTCTCCCCTCAGCCCAGCCCTGGCAACCACCATTATACTTTCCGTCTTTATGATTTTGACTACTCTAAGTACTTCATACAAGTGGAATCATACAGTATTTTTCCTTTTGTGTCTGGCCTCTTTCACTGAGCATAATGTTTTCCAGGTTCGTCTATGTTGTAACATGTATCAGAATTTCATTCCCTTTTATGGCTGAATAATATTCCATTGTATGTATATACCACATTTTGCTTATCCATTCACCTGTCAGTGGATACTTGGATTGCTTTTATGTTTTAGCTATTGCGAATAATGCTGCTATGAATATGGGTGTACAAATATCTCTTTGAGACCTTACTTTTAATTCTTTTGGGTATATACCCAGAAGCGGAATTGCTGGGTCATGTGGTAATTCCATTTTTAGTTTTTTGAGAAACTGCCACACTGGTTTGCATGGCGGCTTTACCATTTTACATTCCCATCAACAGTGCACAAGTGTTCCAATTTCTCCACATTCTTGCCAGTACTTGCTGTTTTCTGATTTTTTGATAGTATCCATACTAATGGGTGTGAGATAGCATCTCATTGTAGTCTTGATTTGCATTTCCCTAATGATTAGTGATGTTGAGCTTCTTTTTACATACTTATTGGCCATTTGTATATCTTCTTTGGAGAAATATCTATTCAAATATTTTGCCCATTTTTAATCAGGTTGTTTGCTTTTTGTTGTTGTTGAGTTTTAGGAGTTCTCTATACATTCTAAATATTAATCCCTTATCAGATATATGATTTGCAAATATTTTCTCCCCTCCTGTGGGTTGCCTTTTTACTCTGTGGTTAGTGTCTTTTGATACACAAATTGTTTAGTTTAATAAAGTCCAATTTGTCTATTTTTTCTTTTTTTACCTGTGCCTTTGGTGTCATATTCAAGAAATCATTGCTAAATCCAATGTCATGAAGCTTTGTCCTATGTTTTCTTCTAAGAGTTTTATTGTTTTAGGTCTTCCATGTAGGTCCTTGATCCACTTTGAGTTAATTTTCGTATATGGTCTTAGGTAAGGGTCCAACTTCATTCTTTTGCCTATGGATATCCAGTTTTCACAGCACCGTTTGTTGAAAAGACTGTCCTTTCCTTGGTTAATGGTCTTTATGCCCTTGTCAAAAATCATTTGACCACATATGTGAGGGTTTGTTTCTGGGCTCTCTACTCTATTCCATTGACTATATGTCTGTCTTTATGCCAATATCGTACTGTTTTGATTACTGTAGCTTTGTAGTAAGTTTTGGAATTAAGAAGTGTGAGCCCTCCAATTTTATTCTTCTTTTTCAAGATTGTTTTGGCTAGGAACAACAAAAGATCCCCAATAGCCAAACCAATCCTAAGAAAAAAGAACAAAGCTGGAGGTATCACAATCTCTGACTTCAAAATATACTACAAAGCTATAGTAATCAAAACAGCATAGTACTGGTCCAAAAACA